TCCCTCATCACTGGCCATTATCTCTACTGATTTATGTTATTTGCTGGGAAGGGTCACTGAGATCTTCATCCTCGAGGTGCTGAACTTCTGTTTGCCATTCCCTTATCAGACTTGGTTACTGAAGTCTTCTGTATGTGATTATTGTCAGTCATAAAAGCATTGAGAGATGCCCTGGTGAATCTCTTGAGTTACAGATACACCTCCCTGTTCCCCTTATGCAGTAGCAAGCCCAGCTTCTCATGATAAATAGGGTTAATCACCCTTGCCAGCATAGTAACTCCTTTCTTTTCCTGATAGACGGCTGGCATGTGGAGCTAAAAATGACCAGATGGCCACTATAAGTTTAGATTTAGTGGAATCCTAAATGGTCCCTGGTAGAGGTGTGTATACCTGCATCCCACCCCACCATGGAAACCAGAACCTCTGCTGCTTCAGAGTTTATAGATATTGGCATAGAAAGCACAAATTTGGCCGGGCGCGGTGGCTCAAGCCTGTAATCCCAGCACTTTGGGAGGCCGAGGCGTGTGGATCATGAGGTCAAGAGATCGAGACCATCCTGGTCGACATGGTGAAACCCTGTCTTTACTAAAAATACAAAAAATTAGCTGGGCATGGTGGCACATGCCTGTAATCGCAGCTACTCAGGAGGCTGAGGCAGGAGAATTGCCTGAACCCAGGAGGCAGAGGTTGTGTTGAGCCAAGATCGCGCCATTGCACTCCAGCCTGGGTAACAAGAGCAAAACTCCGTCTCAAAAAAAAAAGCAAGCACCAATTTGCCAAGTGGATAATCAGAATCTTTGGTGGGAGGGGCTGCTCCTATTTTCACCCCTTGTCTCTCAGACCTATGTAGTTTGTCTGTTAGGGTAACAGTACCATATAATGACTGTTGGTTCAAAGTAAATATCAAGTCTTGAGGGACAGTGTTCCAGCACCACTGTGTGTCATTCCCAAGCTGTGAATTTTGGAGTCCATTCCAATTTTCTGCTAGTCTTGCAGCTTCTGCATGATATATAAATGGTAGGAACAATGTATCCCATGGTCATGTGACCTGAGCAATAAGGATACTCATATCTCAGTCTGAACCTACTGCAGAGCCTTCTCTTGGCCCTAGCCTTACCTCATATCAAGCTGGAAGGCAGGGCAGTATGGACTGATAATGGCTAAGATTCTGTTTAAACATTCTATTGCAGCATGAGTATATACCAAAAAAATTGAAGAAAGTATGGCAACTAATTGATGAGTTTTCATAAACATACCTGAATGTAGCTTAGATTTTTCACAAAGATTTTATAAGAATAGATTGATAGTTTCATAAACTGATAATGCTTGGACCCCATTACTACTTGGAATTTCAAAATTCTTTAGGCTAGTTTGTGACCCAGCAATACAGCACTTACTGGATATAAGCTGAGTACAACCCAGCCATAAATTCATCCTGTCGTTATGAGTTCTATCGGATTTATATAAAAATTTTCCCCTCTTTGTATTATAGTGGAATTCAACATGTATATATTTGATACATACATACATGTATATATATAAAATTTCCCTTTCTGTCATTTTTGTAAGGCTAATCTCACTTTCACAGCTCTACCAGCTCAAAGGCTGAGGGAGCATATGCTTCTCCATATGCCCAACACAGATTCCTCAATGCATTTATTACTCAGAGCTTGGTGATTGAAGAATGTTTGTACTATTTTATTTCTCCTCATAGTGAGTCATTCTACTGTACATTTCAAAATCTGTGATAAGTTGAAAGATCCAAGAATTGAGGTACATGTCAACAAACAGCTTTCCATCTGGTAAATGAGAGATTTTATTTATAATCAGGTATTCAGATACAGTGGTATAAAATGACATTCATATCATTTTATTTCATGACTGAAGGGCTAAGCAAAAACACTAACCACCTCCAATCCATTCACTGCACTGCAACCAGATCAGGAATCCCCTCTGCCTTAAACTCTCCAATGAGTCTAAAATCCACACCTTGAGATATTGTGGCGCTCCATGATCTAGCTCTTGGCTCCTTCTTCAGACTATCTCTCAAAGAGTCTCCTTCCTTTCTACACTCCAGCCAAATGGGATCTTCCCGTTAGCAAAACTCAAGCATAACATATAGGTAGGAAATGTTCAAAACCCAAGTCAATTTTAATGTACAACTTACTACCAAGTAGAAGTTTTCATCCATTGAACCCCAAGGGAGCATTTAGAAGTTAGGGTTTAGGGTTTAGGATGGAAGTAGGGACAACCATTGTGAGGATCTGCTCTAGATTTTTAGTCCAAAGGGATCACCTAGTAAATTATTCCTTTGGTACCATATTTGGGACTACTGCAAAAGCCAGACCCAGACTAATCTGCAAAAGTAATTCAGAACTCCTGGGATGTTCAGAACTGATAGATTTAATTCCTCTGGCCCTAGAGTTTAGTAACACCCTTCTTCTCTCTTTACCACCCACCCAAGGTAGGAGGTTTCCTAGCTAACAATGCCTCACCAGTTGCCTAAGGAGTTACTCCAATTTGAGATATGTTATCAGAGTTTTAAATGGGAAGCCCGAGTTGGTCCAAAGTTCAAGCACAAGTGGACAGATTTTGTGCATCATAAGGTTATGAGATGTTCCAAACACCATTCCAAGCCAAGGGGGAGGTGTTCTGAGACTTTTTCATTTTGTGTCTTTGATTCTTCTCATTTTGTTTAAGCCAGCCTTCCGGCAAAGCGTCCTCTTCATTTTTTTTTTTTTTTCTCTAAGTGTGCCTACTCATTTATGAGCAGAAAAAAAATCAATTAGTTAACATTTAGAAAGCCTTTAAATGTGCTTAATTCACTTAAGGAAGCTTTGGGATATAAAGCAAGTGTCTTCACAAAGTTTGAATCTGGGTGAATTGAACAGATAAAACTTTAATTGATTAAATAATAAAGTGCTAAAATGTGTAAGCTTACCACTGTGAGGAGAAATTTTTAGTGAACACTTCACAGGGACAGTGAAAATTTTGCTGCAAATTAAAGGAAGAATAGGATTAATATAAAGATAAACGACTGTAGGGAGTTCATTGCAAGGATGGTATCTCAGCTCTGGCTGCTATAACAAATATACCATAGACTGGGTGGCTTAACAAACATTTATCATGGTTCTGGAGGCTGAAAGTCTAAGGTAAGATACAGTATAGTTGGATGTTCATGAAGGCCTTCTTCCAGGTTTCTCATAGCAAACCTCTTGTATCCTCATGCAGAAAGAGGTCAGGCTAACCCTCCGGCCTCTTCTTATGAGGACTGTAATCCCATTCATAGAGTCTCCACTCTCCTGACCCAGTTATCTCCCAAAGTCCCCATTGCCAGATATATTGGGATTAATTAGGGTTTCAACATATCAATTTTGAGGAGGCGGGACACAAACATTTAGCCTATTGTAGGTGCAGCTAAAGTGGACCTGTATGGCACAAAGGCAGAGGCAAGAAAGAGGATGCTAACTGGTCCTACCCCTACTGCCTGTGCTTCAGAAAGCACTGCCTGCAACAGTGGCTCTCAAGCCTTTCCATGCATGCATCAGAATCTCCTCGAGAACGATTGTTAAAACACAGATTTCTGCCCTGCTCCCACCTCGCCCATACCCATCACTCTAGAATTTCTGATGGGATGAGGCTAGAGAATTAGCATTTTTCACAAGTTCTCAGGTGGGGTTGATGCTGCTGGTTTGGGGCCCAAGCTTTGAAAGCTACTAGTTTAGACTGTGTTGATAACTGGATGGCTCACCACACAGTAAATCGCATGTGCTGATGATAATGCTGCAAGTTGCCTCTCTCAGTGATACCCTTTGCTCTGCATTACTTTCCACCCTGAAGTATATGATGCTCCCATTCTCACCTCTACATTGCTCAGTCCACCTTCCCTTCCCCTGCTGCTCTATTCCCACATTCTTTTTTCTTTCTTTTTTTTTTTCTGAGATGGAGTTTTGCTCTTGTTACCCAGGTTGGAGTGCAATGGCGCGATCTCGGCTCACCACAACCTCCGCCTCCTGGGTTCAGGCAATTCTCCTGCCTCAGCCTGTTGAGTAGCTGGGATTACAGGCACGCACCACCATGCCCAGCTAATTTTTTTGTATTTTTAGTAGAGATGGGGTTTCGCCATGTTGACCAGGATGCCCACATTCTTGAGGCTGTCACCAGATTGAGTTTAACCATTTCCTGCCTTCTTTTGTTGTTGTTCTCCTTGTAAGTTGATTTCCTGTTTTGTGACTGTTAGAGAATTTAAATTTTAGATTTCTAGATTTTAGAAGGGAAAAGTAAATAATGTTATCAGTTTCTTTGCTCTCCTGCTGATTCATTGGTAAATGAAAGTGGTGATGTGAGAGACCTGATTTCTATTTTCTGTTCAACACTGATGATAATTTTTCAAGCAAAAGCGTATTTGCCTTGGAATTCTTTCCCTTTGATGAAATGATTACCCAAGTAGGTAATAGTGTAACTGCAGAGGTTCTGATAATTACATGTCGATATAAGGCTTTACATATTAAATAATTAGATTATGGTTGACCCTTGACAGAATTTTTTTTTCATCTTCAATCACAGCACATAGCAAATTACAAACTAGCCAAACCCATCGGAACTTCTTTCCATTAATAATGAAAGGAGTTAATAGCACACAGTAGGCATTCATATATTTGGTGAATGAACAAATGAATGCATTCAAAATAAATGCATAAATAATTTTTCTTTTCTCTACTAAACAAAAACAGACATAGTTCCATGAAATATAGGCATGGGTATTTTGTATCAGTTTTAAATTTGGCAGACTACCAAATGTTAATTTGCTTTTAGCTAGTTGAGATTAAATGTAATTCCTTCCCCAGGCAACCCTAAAGTAAGTAAGCATGAAAGCATTTTCAGAGTAATCTGGGAAGAATTGACATTTAAAGGAGTTAGCATTACATCTGTACTTTAAGGCTATTAATTTCATAGATAAATTAACTTCATTACTCCATCTTTATCTTGCATTTTGAAAGGACTCCATCAGCTGGAGGACTGAAAGCCGAGGGTCAATTGAAACTGCTCTTATCCCAGCCAGGTTGTAATTGGAACTTGCTTCTGGAAACCCTACTGCATCATGATGGACTTTTACTGAGAATCTTGCTAAAAAGCTCAAGTGAGTATTTGTAGTTATAAGAATGTCCTTGAAAAATCTAGCCATTGCTCAAGTTGAATAACATTTTTTTTTCTAGGCAAATATTGGAAGAAGGATGTAAACCAATGGCCTATATTAACAGTCAGTTGGGTTAGCAGCACGCAAAAGTATTACATCGCTTTACCAACTTATTTGAAATAATTTGTAGGACTCTGAATAAGGGAAAACTACATTTTTGTTTGACATTGTTCTATCACAAATACCATTATGTAGAAATGTATCAATATGCAGGGTTTGAAATGCCTAAAATAATTGTAAGAATGCAGTTATATTTCCAAAGCAAAAGTTTGAATTAGACCTAGACACACACACACACAGAGAGAGAGAGAGAGAGAGAGAGAGAGAGAGAGAATTAGATTAACAGGGGAATTTGAGTGTATCATGAAGAGTGCTTGTGCAGCTTACAAACAAGCAAGCTGTGGCCTACAGCTGTATCCATTAGAACACAGAGTAGTAATCATCAGAAAATTTTAAGTGGAAATTGAGGAGTAATAAAAGACCATACTTCTCTTAATTACTTCCCCCCAAAATGCTTTTTAAGAAAGTGGTAAGTCATGTTATGTCAAAATAATAATACTTCTCATCACTGTCCCACTTCATCTAGGAAGAGTCTAACCATTTTCACATACTCCTGTGCATCTCTCCTATTCCATACCACAAGTGAAGCCTGATTAACTTTATCGATTACTATGTTCACTGTAGGTTTCCCAAATCAAAATCTTTTTTCTCTAGTTCTTCATCACCTGCAGGACCAAATCCAGTTCCCTTCACCATCCAGATATGATCCCAGAATAGTTTTCTAACCTTTTCCTCCACTGTTTTCTTGCACACACCACCCACTAACTCCTGTTCCAATTGTTGTCTCCAAAGCCCCAAGCATGTGTTTGCTCCACACCTTGGCTCACCTGTCTTTCCTACTTAAAGACCTGCCCTAAACAACTTGGCTTCCACCAGTCTGCAAAGGCCAGCTGATGTTTCGGAGCTTTGAACGCCCTATCTCACACTGATCTCTTCCTCCCTGACATTTATAGTGAAGTTTCATCTTGGTTACTTTATTCGCTCTTAGCATGTGCTGCCTTATAATTTTATTGTGTTTATATATGAATGAGGCAAATGCTGTTAGGCCCTACCAGCCTGTTAGTATACAAATGAGCTTATAGCCTTCCCTTGTCTAAATAGCTCCAGTCATTTCTGGTAATTTTTGTTTTCTCATATCTGCTCAGGACCAGTTCCCCATATTCTCTCCCATCCACCTTGATTTTGCTTCCCAAAAGGCACTTAGGAGTGGCATCTCTTGTGAGAATATTACTATTACTTCTCCCCTGGTGCTCTCCAAACTGTAAAGCCATGTAATGCCAATTGTCACCACAACTCCTCAGGCCACACTGTGTTCCAAGCAGAAGGGCAAACCTTGCTCCCTCCCAAACTCTGACTCTGATTTTATTTCCTTAGCTTCCAAACAGTACTGTTTGGGCCTCAAATCTCACAAAGTTTATCTGAAAACAATTTATTTAGCTTCAGGCTTAACAACCACTCTCCTAGAGAAAACTTACACTAGGGAAACTACTTCCTCAAGTAACCAACATTTGTTGTTCACTTATTAGTTATCAGGCACTATGCTAAGCATTTTATACATGTTATCTAATTTGATTCTATTTATAATCTTATAAAATATATACTATTGTTACTCTCATGTTAAACATAAGGACATTGGCATTGAAGATAAATATTACTTACCCAGAGATACACATATCTGACAAACAGTGAGTAAATCTAGATTTTGAACCCAGCCAGAGCTTTCTGTCCCCTGTCCTTCCAATACAAATACTCATGCAAATTAAACCCTGAAGTGGAATAGCAGTAGTACTGGGAAGAATTGTTATCTGTACACTTCAGGTTGGATCAACCAGGACATCTTGGTACACATGCATTTAACTTGCCTCTCCAGCTTGTTAGGCAAGGTAGATTTTTATAGTCCTCCTTAAGCTGACACAGTGCTTTTTACATAAAGAGTTCAGTAAACAGTGCTTGGCAAATCAGTGATCAATTAGAATATAAAACATAGTGCTTCCTTTAAACTTTATAGTCTAAGTGCTTTTCAGACAAAGAAGCTACGTGACAAGGATAGTATCTGACACAGCTGAGAGTTACTCTGATGTAATTGCTGAAACTCACAGGCAAAGTCCTATAAGAGAAATGGTCTTCATTGGATAGAATTATGCAGAATCGATTGCAAAATCAGTTGAGATAAGCCTTTTGACTATATTGAGATAGTCACTAACTACAGAAAGTACAATTATAGTTATGACTATTTAACCATATTCTCTTACAAATGAATCCTACATTTACTTATAACAAATAATTATGTCCACCTTCTGGTATGTATAAGATGATGTTGTTTTAAAAAAAACGTAGAGTTATCAAAGGTGTCATATTGTACTAATTTTAGTTCTGGTTCTTAGGTAGTAGAGCAGTGTATTTATCCAATATGCTCAAATATCCATCATTTTTAACAAAGGCTATTAGACTACATGGTTGCTCTAGTATTGTCTTGTATTGAATTTTACTAGCTACTTCAAACACCATAAGGATAAAGTGACTGAATTTACTAATCAGTTGATTGACCTACTTCTTAGTCTCCAATAGAATTCATGTCACTTCCAATTAGAAACAATATTTTCATTGAATCTTGTTAATTATACTAATGTAGACATTATTATGCACATAAAAATTAATTTATAGTATTTTTATAGAGATTTTATTTTTATTTGATTAAAAGTCTCACAATATTTTCAGAGTACCATTTTGTAATTTAGAAGCTTGATAATTTTAGGAAATATTAGGAAAGCAAAATCTGTGAAACCCCATTTCTACTAAAAAAAAAAAAATACAAAAATTAGCTGGGCGTGGTGGTGCACACCTGTAGTCCCAGCTACTCGGGAGGCTGAGGCAGGAGAACTGCTTGAACCTGGGAGGCGGAGGTTGCAGTGAGCCGAGATTGTGCCACTGCACTCCAGCCTGGTGCCTGGTGCCTGGCCACGGATCAAGACTCTGTCTCAAAAAGAAAGAAAAAAAAAAGGAAAGCAAAATCTTTGAGTAAAATACTCTGAGTTGTATATTTCAAGCAACGTAATTATCAGCTTTTTTGGGGGATTTTAAAAAAATCAATAAATAGTGTGTTTTCCATTTTTAAGCTAATAAGCAACTTCAGCAGTCTTAGGATACAAAATCAATATGTAAAAATTGTTAGCATTTCTATACACCAACAGTGAAGCCAAGACCCAAATCAAGGATGGGCTCCCATTTGCAATTGCCACAATATGATTAAAATATCTAGGAATACAGCTAACGAGGGAAGTGAAGGACCTTCGCAAGAACTACAAACCACTGCTCAAAGAAATCAGAAATGACAAAAACAAATGGAAAGACATTCCATGCTCATGGAAAGGAAGAATCAATATTGTGAAAATGGCCATACCACCCCCAAAAATTTAAGATTCAATGCTATTCCCATTAAAGTACCATTCTTCACAGAACTAGAAAAAAACTATTTTAAAATTCACACAGAACCATATAAAAGCCTGAGTAGCCAACACATTCCTAAGCAAAAAGAACAAAGCTGGAGACATCACACAACTGGACTTCAAACTACACATCAGGGCTATGGTAATCAAAACAGCATGGTACTGGTACAAGAACAAACATGCAGATGAATGGAACAGAATAGAGAACCCAGAAATAAGACCACACACCTACAACTATCGGATCTTCAACAATCCTGACAAAAACAAGCAATGGAGAAAGGATTTCCTATTTAATAAATGGTTCTGGGAGAACTGGCTAGTCATATGCAGAAAATTGAAACTGGACCCCTTCCTTGCACTATATACAGAAATCAATTCAAGATAGATTAAAGACTTAACTGTAAAACCCAAAACCATAAAAACCCTAGAAGAAAAACTAGGTGATATCATTCAGGACGTAGGTGTGGGCAAAGATCCCATGATGAAAATGCCAAAAGCAATTGCAACAAAAGCAAAAATTGATAAATGAGCCTAATCAAACTAAAAACCTTTTGCACAGCAAAAGAAACTGTCAACAGAGAAAACAGACAACTTACAGAATGGGAAACAAATTTTACAGACTAAACATCTGACAAAAGTCTAATATCCAGAATTTATAATCAACTTAAACAAATTTACAAGGAAAAAACAACTAATTAGATAAACAAGTGGACAAAGGACATGAACAGACACTTTTCAAAAGAAGATATACATTCAGCCAACAATTAAATGAAAAAAAAGCTCAATATCACTAATCATTAGAGAAATGCAAATCAAAACTACAATGAGATACTATTTCACACCAGTCAGAATGGCTATCATTAAAAAGTCATAAAATAACAGATGCTGGAAAGTTTGTGGAGAAAAAGGAGCAATTTTACAGTTGACAGAAGCATAAATTAGTTCAACCATTGTGAAAGACAGTGTGGAGATTCCTCAGAGACCTAGAGACAGAAATACCATTTGACCCAGCAATCCCATTACTGGGTATATACCCAAAGGAATATAAATTGTTCTATTATAAAGATGCATGCATGCATAGGTTCATTGCAGCACTATTCAAAATAGCAAAGACATGAAATCAACCTAAATGTTGGCTGATAAAGAAAATGTGGTACATATACACCATGGAAAGAAAAGGAAAGAAAATGTGGTACATATACACCATTGAATACTATGTAGCTATAAAAAGGAATGACAGCATGTCTTCTGCAGGGACATGGATGGAGCTACAGGATATTTTCTTTAGCAAACTGACACAGGAATAGAAAGCCAAATACCACATGTTCTCACTTATAAGTGTGAGCTAAATGATGAGAATACATGGACACAGAGTGGGGAACAATACACACTAGGGCCTGCTGGAAGGTGGGAGGGTGGGAGGAGGGAGGGGATCAG